CTCCTGATTCCCCCAGACTGATCATGGTAATAATAACTACAGCCAACACTTATGCAGTGCTTACTATGTGACAGCTGGTGTTCAAAGCACTTTAAATGAACCCAGTCATTTCATTCTCTTAGAAATTCTCTGGGCTAATTGTTGTTAGGTGCCATCAAGTCAGTTCCAACCCACGGTGACCCTATATACAACAGAACAAAACACTGCCCAGTCCTGCACGATCCTCACAATTGTTATGTTTGAGCCCATTGTTGCAGCCACTGTGTCAATCCATCTTGTTGAGGTTCTTCCTCTTTTTCGCTGACCCTCTACCAAGCATGATGTCCTCCTCCATGGACTGGTTCCTCCTGGTAACATGTCCAAAGTATGTGAAATGAAGTCACGCCAGCCTTGCTTTTAAGGAGCATTCTGGCTGTATTTCTTCCAAAACAGATTTGTTCGTTCTTCTGGCAGTCCATGGTATATTGAAAATTCTTTTCCAACACCATAATTCAAAGGTGTTAATTCTTCTTCGGTCTTCCTTATTCACTGTCCAGCTTTTGCATGCATATGAGACAGTTGAAAACACTATGGCTTGGGTCCGGTGCACCTTATTCCTCAAAGTGACATCTTTGCTTGTTAACAGTTTAAAGAGGTCTTTTGCAGATTTGCCCAGTGAAATATGTCATTTGATTTCTTGACTGCTGCTTCTGTGGGTGTTGATTGTGGATCCAAGTAAAATGAAATCCTTGACAACTTCAATACTTTCTCCACTTATCATGATGTTGCTTATTGGTCCAGTTGTGAGGATTTTTGTTTTCTTTATGTTGAGGTGTAATCCATACTGAAGGCTGTGGTCTTTGATCATCATTAAGTGCTTCAAGTCCTCTTCACTCTCCTCAAACAAGGTTGTGTCATCTGCATAATGCAGGTCGTTAATGAGTCTTCCTCCAATCCTGATGCCCCGTTCTTCTTCATATAGTCCAGCTTCTCGGATTAGGTGCTCAGCATACAGACTGAATAAGTATGGTGAAAGGATACAACCCTGACGCACACCGTTCCTGACTTTAAACCATGCGATATCCCCTTGTTCTGTCAGAAAGACTGCCTACTGATCTATGTACAGGTTCCTCATGAGCACAATGAAGTGTTCTGGAATTCCCATTCTTCGCATTGTTATCCATAATTTGTTGTGATCCACAGTCGAATGCCTTTGCGTTGTCAATAAACACAGGGAAACATCTTTCTGGCATTCTCTGCTTTCAGCCAAGATTCAGCTGACATCAGCAATGATATCCCTCATTCCGCATCCTCTTCTGAATCCGGCTAGACTTTGTGGCAGTTTCCTGTTGTTGTACCGCTGTAATCATTTTGAATTATCTTTAGCAGAATTTTACTTGTGTGTGATAGCAATGATATTGTTCGATAATTTCCGCATTGTTGGATCACCTTTCTTTGGAATGGGCACAAATATGGATCTCTTCCAGTTGGTTGATTAGGTAGCTGTCTTCCAAATTTCTTGGCATAGAATAGTGAGCGCTTCCAGCGTTGCACCCATTTGTTGAAACATCTCAACTGATATTTTGTCAATTCCTGGATCCTTGATTTTTGCCAGTGCCTTCAGTACAGCTTGGACTTCTTCCTTCAATACCATTGGTTTTTTGATCATATGCTGCCTCCTAAAATGCTTGAACATCGACCAATTCTTTTTGGTACAGTGACTCTATTCCTTCCATCTTCTTTCGATGCTTCCTGTGTCATTCAATATTTCGCCCATAGACCTGTTGCTGTTGAGTCGATTCCAATTCAAAGCAACCCTACAGGATAGAACAGAATTGCCCCGTAGAGTTTCCAAGGAGTGGCTGGTGGATTCAAACTGCTGATCTTTTGTTAGCAGCTGAACTCTTCACCACTGCACCCGGTAGAGTCCTTCAATACTGCATCTCAAAGCTTGATTTTTTTCTTCAGTTCTTTCAGCTTAAGAAATACCAAGCACGTTCTTCTCTTTTGGTTTTCTAACTCCAGGTCTTTGAACATTTCATTATGATACTTTACTCTGTCTTCTCAAGCCACCCTTTGAAATCTTCTGTTCAGTTCTTTTACTTCATCATTTCTTCCATTCACTTTAGCTACTCTATGTTCAACAGCAAGTTTCAGAGTTTCATCTGACATCCGCTTTGATCTTTTCCTTCTTTCCTGTCTTTTTAATGATCTTTTGCTTTCTTCATGTATGATGTCCTTGATGTCAATGCACAACTCACTTGGTCTTCAGTCATTAGTGTACAATGCGTCAAATCTATTCTTGAGATGGTGGGATAAACTCAAGGTTGTACTTTGGCTCTCGTGGATTTGTATTTTTCTTCAGCTTTAACTTGAACTTGCATAGTAGCAACTGATGGTCTGTTCTGCAGTTGGCCCCTGGTCTTGTTCTGACTGATGATATCCAGCTTCTCCATCATGTCTTTCCATAAATGTAGTCAACTGGATTCCTGTGGATTCCATTTGGTGAGGTCCACACGCATAGATTCCGTTTATATTGTTGAAAAAAAGTATTTCCAACGCATAGGTCGTTGGTCTTGCAAAATTCTATCATGTGATCTCCGATGTCGTTTCCGTCATCAAGGCCATATTTTCCAACTACTGCTCCTTCTTCGTTTCCACCTTTCACATTCCAATCACCAGTAACTATCAATGCATCGTGATTGTACGTTCGATCAATTTCAGACTGCAGAAGTAGGTAAAAACCTTCAGTTTCTTCATTTCTGGCATTAGTGATTGGTGTATAAATTTGAACAAGTCATATTAACTGTTCTTCCTTGTAGGCGTATGGATATTATCCTATCACTGACAGCATTATACTTCAGGATAGATCTTGCAATGTTCTTTTTGACAATGAATGCAATGCTGTTCCTCTTCAATTTGTCATTCTCGACATAATAGACCATGTGATTGTCTGATTCAAAATGGCCAATACCAGTCCATTTCAACTCACTAGTGCCTAGGATACTGATCTTCAAGCATTCCATTTTGTCTTTGACAACTTCCAATTTTCTGAGATTCATATTTTGTACATTCCACATTCTGATTACTAATAGATGTTTGCAGCTACTTCTCATTTTGAGTCATGCCACATCAGTAAATGAAGGTCCCAAAGCCTTGACTCCATCCATGTCATTAAGGTCGACTTCACTTTGAGGAGACAGCTCTTTCCCAGTTGTATTTTGAGTGCCTTCCAACCTGAGAGGCTCATCTTCCAGCACTATACACCAGACAGTGTTCCGCTGCTATTCATAAGGTTTTCACTGGCCAGTTTTTTCAGAAGTAGACTGCCAGGTCCTTCTTCCTAGTCTGTCTTAGTCTGGAAGCTCTGCTGAAACCTGTCCACCATGGGTGACCCTGCTGGTATTTCAAATCTGACCACTCGTCTGTCAGTTTGTCGTACTGTGGTGGTTTGTGTGTTGCAGTGATGCTAGAAGCTATGCCTCTCTGAAGTTAGGTGCTGGTATTATTATTATCCCCATTTTAGAGATCAGGACACCAAGGTACAAAGAGGCTAAAAAACTAATCCAAGTAGCAGAGGCTGGATTTGAACCTGGGCAGTCCGGCTCTATAATCCATGTAGTTAGCCACACACTATTGCACCTCCCTTAGTCACGGGGACCATGGCACCACCACCTCTTCCTTACATAAGTCACTCTTTTTTATTGAGAGAGAATTCACTGTTATGGGCTGGATTGTATACCCAAAAAGATACATTGAAGTCCTAACCGTCAGTACCCATGAATGTGGCCTTATTTGTAAAGAGGGTCTTTGTAATTGGTTAACATGAGGTCATACTGTAATAGGGTAGGCCCTAACCCAGTATGACTGGTGTCCTCATAAGAAAAGGCAGGGAATCACAGGTAGACACAGAGGGAAGATGGAGGCAGACATTGGAGTGATGCAGCCACAAGCCAAGGAATGCCTGAGGCTACCAGAAGCTGGAAGGGGCAAGGGAAGATATTCCCTCCAGAGCCTCTGGAGAGAGCATGACTCTTCAGGGACACCCTGAATGTGCGCTTCTGGCCTCGAGAACTGTGAGACAAGAAATTCCTGTTGTTTTCTGGCACCCAGTCTGTGGTACTTTGTTTTAACAGCCCTGGAAAATGAAGACATCCACATACCGTACAATTAACCCTTTTAAAGCGTACATTCATGATGTCATGCAACAATCACCACTACCCAATTCCAGGACACTTTCATCACCCCAAAAAGAAACCCATACCCATTAGTAATCACTCTCCATTCTCTCCTCCTCTGGCCCCTGGCAACCACTAGTCAGCTTTCTGTCTCTATGGATTTGCCTACTCTGGATGTTTCATACAGATGGTATCGTACACTACGTGGCCTTCTGTGACTCACTTCCCTCACTCAGCAGAATGTTTCCAAGGTTCATCCACACTGTAGCATGTATCAGAACATCACTGCTTTTTATGGCTGAATAATATTCCATTATATTTATCCATTCATCAGCTGATAGACACGGGCTTGTTTCTACTTTTTGGCTATTAAGGATAATGCTGCTATGAGCACTAGTGTACAGGCTTCTGTGTGGAAATACATTTTCCTTTATCTTGGGTACATACCTAGGAATGCAATTGGTGGGGCAGAGGTTTTGGGTGATTAGCTGACTAATGTCCACCTTCCATACAAAAGTGTTTAAGTTCCATGAGGACAGGATCTAAGTCTGTATTTTCTCACCATTTTATCCCCATTGCCTGCCACAGAGTCAACAATTATTTCAATGAATGAATGAGTAGCAGGTGCACCGAAACCAGCACTGAGCTGGGTACCCTTGGCTAGAATGCTGGGAGTCTGGGGTTCTAGGCCCAGCTCTGCCTCTACCTAGCTGTGTGTCCTCAGGCCAGTAGCTTGCCTTCTCTGGGCCTCCCATTTCCTCAGGTATGATGGGGAAAGTGACACAGCCCGCCCTGCCTCGAGCCACCCCGCAGTCTTACCCTCCCGCCCGACCTCCTGCTCACCTCAGGCTCCTCCTCCCCATTCTGGCTGAGCTTGCCCTGCAGCCTCTCTCGAAGCTTCCCGAGCTCTGCCCGCAGGCGGCCCATCTCTTGCTCCTTAGTCTGCATGTCTGCTTCCAGCTCCACCTTCTGTTCAATCAAGGCCTTCCCCTGGGCCTCCACCACTGTGACCCGGTGCCGAAGGTCATGGTTAATCTTCATCAGCCGGGTCTGCTGCTGCTGCAGCTGCAGAAAGAGGGGATGCCGTTGGGCAGGGCTGCCACATACCGTAGCTCAGGCTGTGCACTGCACAAGTGCAAAACGTCGAAGGGTGTGCCATTCCTACTGTGGACATCTTAGTTTGAAATCTCACATTCTTAAAACTCTGCTGACAGCAGAGACAATGATCTGTGTATTTATTATAATAACTATATAACAGGTGGGAGGTAAGTGTCTTGGCAGAATTAGTATATTACGACAGCTTGCCAACAGATGGAAGTAACATGCCTTGAGAAAGGGCGCGCTTTTCTAATCAGGCAGAGGTACTACCGTATGGGTTTCTGCAGCAGCCTGGACCATGCTGGCCAGCTCACGAGGGGCACCAAGGGGGTGAGCTTGGCCACTTCAGCACTCAGAGGAGAGGCTAGTGGGCTGGCAGGACCCTGCAGGGTGTGGATGGGAAGAGGTCAGTGGGCAGTGCCACGTTCCCTCCTGCTTCTCTAGGGAAGAATGTGGCGTAGGGTCATCCTCCCACCTGCTGTTTTGGGGCCGGATCCACCCACCTGCAGACAGGTTCCCACCCCACAGAGCACAGGGAATGAGATTGAGGGGGAGAAAAGGGGTCCGGTAAAGGGAGGAAGCAGTTTCACCCTGGTACCCGCCGGCAGGAGAGCACTTACAGCCTCGACATCTTCGTTCTTCAGGCCCAGCTCCCTGTCCTTGGCGCGGATCTCGTCCCGCTGTTTGTCCACTACCTCCTTCAGCTTCTTCATCACCTGCCGCTCGCGCTCTGACATGCCTGGGGGGTGGTGGGCGAGGCCAGCAGGTGAACCCAGCTCCTTGCTCCACTGAAATCCTCCAACGCATCCACGGCCTCATGGTCCCTGGGGGCTGCCTCCTCCCCAACCTTATCTCCCCTCCACTCTCCACTCACGCTCTCTCCCCCACAGCAGTCTGCTTCCTGGTCCTGGATCCTTCCATGCTCATTCCCAAGCTCATTCCCACGTCTGCCTGCAGTTCCTGCTTTCTGACCCCCCAGGACTCTCCCCTCATTCATCAGGCCTCAGCTCAAACGTCCCCTCCTCACAGAAGCCTGTTCTCCCCTCACCACCCAATCTAAGTTGGCCCCCCCCCCACCCACCCAGCCAGTTCCTCCCTATCCCAACCCCGCTTACTGCCTTCCTAGCGTGTAAGTGTTTTAAAAACACGTTATCACTGAGTCATTTCCAACTGACGGCAACCCCATGCGTTATAGAGCAGAACTGCTCCATAGGATCTTCTTTGCTTAACCTTTACAAAGGCAGATTGCCAGGCTGTTCTTCTGTGGTGCTGCTGGGTGAGTTTGAACCACCAACCTTTACGTTAGTAGTCAAGTGCAAACTGCTTACACCACCAGGGACCTATAGTAAGTATCTCAGACATTCTTTTTTTAACTGTGGTAAAATATATAACATAAAATTTGCCATTGTAACTATTTTCAATTGTACAATTCAGTAGCATGAATTATAATCACCATATTGTACAACCTTCACCACTATCAAACTTCCAAAACTTGTCATCACCCCAAACAGAAACTCTGTACCTAATAAGCAATAACTTCCCATCCCCCCTCTCCCCTAAGCCCCTGGTAACCACTCATCTACTCTGTCTCAATGAATTTGCCTAAGCTAGATATTTCATATAAATACGATCAGACAATGTGTGACCTTTTGTATCTGGCTTCTTTCACTCAGTCTAATGTTTTCAAGGTTCATCCACGTTGTAGAACGTTACGAGAACTTCATTCCTTTGTATAGCTGAAGAATATTCCTTTGCATGGCTAGACCACATTTTGTTTATCCATTCTTCTGTTGGTGGACATATAAGTTGTTTCTACCCTTGGCTATTGTGAATAATCCTGCTGTGAACATGCATGTACGTGTACTTGTTTGAGTACCTGTTTTCAATTCTTTTGGGTATCTACCCACTAACACCAGTTGCCACCGACTCGGTTCTGACGCAGGGAGACCCCATGTGTTTCAGAGTAGAACTGCGCTCCATAGCGTTTTCAATGGCTGATTTTCCAGAAGTAGATCGCCAGGCCTTTCTTCCAAGGCTCCTCTGGGTGGACCTGAACCTCATACCTTTTGGTTAGCAGTGTGTTAACCATGTGCAACACCCCGAGACTCCTCACACCCACTACATGGGTATAATAAAAAGAGACAGACAAAAAACAAGTGTTGACAAGGATGTAGAGAAATTAGAACCCTCATATGTGGCTGGTGAGAGTGTACAACGGTACAACAGCTAGGGAAAACAGTTTGGCAGTCCCTCAAAAAACTTACACAGAGAAAGAGCGTAGGACCCAGCAATTCCACTCCTAGTTATGTACCCAAAACAAATGAAAACATGTCCACACAAAAACCTGTACGTGAATGTTCACAGCAGTGTTATTCATAACCGCAAAAAAGTAGAAACAACTCAAATGTCCATCAACGGATGAATGGACAGACAAAATGTGGTCGATACACACAACGGAATATTATTTAGCAATAAAAAGGAGTTAAGTTCTGATACATGCTACCACATGGACGAGCCCTGAAAACACGCCGAGTGAAAAGAAACCAGTCACGGAGGACCACATATTGTAGGAGTCTATTTACATAAAATGCCCAGAAGAGGCAAGTCCATACAAACAGAGAGATCAGTGGTTGCCAGGGTCTGCGGGGAGGGGAGACTTTCTGGGGAGATGAAAATATTCTGGAATTAGACAGTGGTAATTGTTACACAGCTTTGTGAATAGACAGTAAAGCCTGCAGAAGCCAGAAACTGTGTAAGGTGAAAACTTGTCAGAGAAGGAAAACTAAAATATTGTCCAGTAATTGAGAGCGACAGAAAAGTGGTAAGACTGCACCCTGTCAACGGCGGACAACTTGCGAGACCCGGAAAAGCAAGGCAGTCCTGTTGAGTTCCAGCTCTCACTGGTTTCACTGTACTAAGAACTAGTGAACTGTACACTTTAACAGAGCGATTTTTACGGTTTGTGCCCTACATCTCAATTTTTAAAAAGTACACACTATATGATTCCATTTGTATAAAGTTCGAAACCAGGCAGAACTAATCGATGATGACAGTGGTCGAACTTGGGGCTACCTTGTGGGGTACTCGGGAGAAAGACATGGTAGCTGGTTTCCGTAAAGATTTACAGCCTTGGAAAACCTATGCGGTAGTTCTGCTCTGTCCTATAGGGATGCTATGAGTCGGAATCAACTTGACGGCAGTGGGATTGGTTTTTTGGTTTTGTGGGGTATTAAGAAGCCCTGGTGGCGCAGTGGGTAAGCACTCAGCTGCTAACCTAAAGGTCTGTGGTTCGAACCCACCAGCTGCTCCGAGGGAGAAAGATGTGGCATTGCCTCCCATAAAGATTACAGCCTTGGAAACCCTATGGTGCAGTTCTCCTCTGTCCCACAGGATATAAGTTGTAACTGACTTGACAGCAATGTGTTTTTTGGTTTTGGTTGGGGTATTGTCTGGGAAGGGACTATAAGGAGCACTCTGGGGTGCTGGAAATATTCTACATCCTCACCTGAACACACAAGCAAAAAGTCGTAGCTTTGTGCAGTAAAATCTGTTCTCTTACTCTAAGTAAGTTATTCCTCAATTAAAAAAAAATTAAAGGATAACAAGGGGTGACGGAGGGTCTCCCATCGGCACCAACGCTGTTTATCTCCAGCTTCAGGTGGGGAGCGAGAGGGGACAGGCCTCCAGCACCAATGCTGGGACACGGGGGCTACTGGCTGAGGAGGCGTAAGGCAGAGTTCCGGGGACCCCTCAGCACCCTAAAGAGGCAGGTGGGGCCCGAGCAGGAGCACAGGCAGCCTCCAGAGCAGCCTTTCAGGAGGCGAGAGCCATCGCTTCTCTGTTTAAGTGCATCAGGAGCTGATTACGCCTGCGGCTCCACTTGGAGCTTATCAAGTGGGCAATTTTCCCTGAGACTGGCTCCCCTCTTCCTCCTCCTCCTCCTCCTCCCAGCCGCCTCCACCACCACCTCCCCAACATCCTCAAAGGATGCTCCCTTGCTGGAGTCTGCTGCAGGAAGCTCCAGGCCACGAAGCACTCGGCCTAGAAGGGACCCTGAGGCTTGGACTGAGGTCACAGGGTCATCTAGGGGCTCCTGGGTGCTGGTCTCTCCCTTGTCCCTGTACCCCCCCCCCAGAGCCACTGCTGCAAGGCAGTGTGTTGTGCGTTATGTTCCCAAAAAAGACACGTTGAAGTCCAGATCTCAGGTGCCCTGACTGTGACCTTGTTTGGAAACAGGGTCTTTGCAAGATGTAATAGAGTTAGGATGAGATCAGTAGGATGGGCCCTAATCCAATATGACTGGAGAGGACACTGAGACACATAGAGGAAGACAGCCATGTGACAATGGAGACAGAGACTGGCGTGATGCAGTAGTAAGCCAAGGGGCTCTAAGGATTGCCAGGAGTCACCCACAGCTGGGAGAGACAAAGGATCCTCCCCTAGAGCCTTCAGAGGGAGTGTGGCCCTGCTGACATCTTGACTTCGGACTTCTACAACTCCAGAAAGGAGCCCTGGTGGCGCAAGGTTCAGTGCTCAGCTGCCTACCAAACGGTTGTTGGCTGAAACCCACCCAGCCACTCCACAGGAGGAAGACCTGGCAATCTGCTCCCGTACAACCTAGAAAACCCTATGGGACAGTTCTACTCTGTCATCTGGGGTCACTGTGAGTTGGAATTGACTTGATTGCACCCAACAACAACAGAAGTCCAGAAACGTGAGAGAAGACAGTCTTGTTTTAGGCCACCCAGTTTGTGGTTCTTTGTTACAGCAGCCACATGGTGCCTGGGCCTTGGCGGGCCAAGAGGGCAGTGCTAAACTCTCCCAAAAAAGTGCTCCTCAGACTGTGTGTGTGGGTGGGGCCAACGTCAGGTGTGGGCAGAACCTGTGAAAAAGCAAGAAAGCTTTCACTGTCTGCTCTTTGAACACCTGTCCTGTGCCAGGCTCCGAGCTGGGGGCATGACAGGCGGGGCACGCTTAATCCCGGGGCAGAGCAGATTCAGCTCTGGAGAAGGGAAGAAGAGCTGGGGAGTGGGGGGTGTGCAAGCTGAGGAAAGCCTGGATCTGTAACCCAGCGACATCATTCACCTCTATGGGCATCAGTGGTTCCATCTGTAAAAACTCTGAGGCCGCAGAACAGACGGTGAAGAGCCGACAGTCAGAAGCCGATTTCCGGGACTCAAAGCCTGGATTTGCCATTTACCTTTGGCCTCACTTTTCTCACTTACAAGTGGGGATAACGTGGACGCACCCACCTCACAGGGCTCGGGTGAGGCTTGTTGTAGACTGCTGGCGAGCCAGCCCCCGACGCGCGGCGACCCCACACATGAAGGAGTGAAACGCTGCGCGGTCCTGCACCATCCCAATGATCGGCTGTGGATCAGACCGTGATCCACAGGGTTTTTACTGGCTGATTTTTGGAAGGAGCATGCCAGGCCTTCCTTCCTAGTCTGTCTTAGTCTGGAAGCTCCCCTGAAGCCTGTTCAGCATCACGGCAATGCTCAAGCCTCCACTGACAGACGGGTGGTAGATGTGCATGAGGTGCATTGGCCAGGAATCGAACCCAAGTCTCCTGCATGGAAGGTGAGAATTCTACCCCTGGATCCACCACTGCCCTCACCGTGTGAGTCTGACATGAGTTAATCTGTGAAGAGTGCTTACAACAGGCCTGGCCTGCAAAGTGAGAGTCTGTCTAAGAGCCCCTAAGAGTCAGCTGTTATTTGGCCCACAAAATGGAAATAC